TTACGCCAGTGAAAGGTAAAGTAAACGTTCTTCGAAGTGCATAATGCTTCTATTGCAGATATAATGCAGAAATAACAACACTTACCTTAATGATTCCATCTATGAAAATAACGTAACAAACTTATGAAATTAACAGCCAAAAGATATCAGCCTAGAGAACTATCTGACTCAGAACAGACAGATGCAGACAAAGCCAGTAGCATAGAGAGGCCCCAGTCACACAAAAGCTGATATTGTTCTCCTGCTGAGCGAAAATCCCACTTGTAAATCGAACGACATCTGCATTCAGAATCACCCACAGAAAGCGCCCCTGGAGAGGTGACCAAACTACTTGATTCAACAGAAAAAAGATTTCTCTTGTCTCCTTCAATGTAGGCAGCTGCATAAAATAGCAGCTTTTGGTTTTAATTTTTAGCAAACCTTGCTTTCTTTGATGCACCGATAGAGATGAAACACAATGTGTAAAGATCTTTCCCATTAGGCACACCCTTGAAGCCCAGTATACTTTTCCAAATAAATAATTGTTAAAGTAAAATCTTCTGTCATGATACAGAAAACAGCCAAATGCCAGTGTCTCCAAAATCAGTAACATCTTCACATTTATTCCCAACTTCTTTATCAGTACTGATGACACAAGACAGCGGTGCCCCCCAGGATCTCTTTCATGAAAGTCAATAAAAAAATCTTAATCAAAGCATTTGATAAGGCTTCTAAAAATCTGTCAATGGGAATAAAAAGCTGCTTCACTATTTAAATTTAGCTCTGTTTTGCCATAAAATTATTTATATCCTTTACTTAACCTTATTACATTCTTTATTATCTAAATCGGATACCAGAATGAAACAATCTATAAAACTTTATATAGGCATACACCCAGGCAGTTCTAAGTCACACAGAGGAATGCCCTACAGCATTCACCAAAATTTTGATCATCACATTTCTAACAGAAGTGACAAAAAAAAAAATAACCTGTCTAACCCAAAGTTACTCTTTTACTTTACAAGAAAAATCAATTATTAAACAATATTTTTTTAGACAGTGACTATTTCTAAATGCCTGTTTCTAGAAGGTCCTTTTCTTTACTCTCACTAGTAAACAAAATTAAGCTTTTAATAATGAACTGTGTAACTTTTGCACAGGAAAAAAACACTCAACACAATAGAGGGATTCTGTAAAATTATGAAAAAAATGACACAATGCAACTATTCAATAAGCCCACATCAGGATATGCTGGTGTATTGCAGGATTTGCCCCAGAGTGAATACAAATTACTTTTTAAGTCGTTTGCACCTTTCTCTCCCTTGTTTTGAACAGCTTTGGCACCCAAGTGGAAGAGAGTCTTATGATAGCTATCTAAACAGATATATATAAATGAATCAATTAAAGACAATTGATAGGATGATACGAACCCTGCTTCCTATGGCCTTCAGAGGTGCCTGTCCTCAAAACACCTAAGTTAATGAATTACTGAGAAAGACTACTTCTATTTTATGATCTATATTACCTGAAAAAAACAACACGTGTCTAACTTGCACTCCTAACACAAAGATTGTCCTTTTTTTTTTTTTCTTTCGGAAAAAGAGTTAGTTCAGAAGCAAAAGAAGGTATTTCAGCAGCAGAAGTGAGCTATCATCATGTGCCTAATCTAAAAATAAGGATAATTCTTGAGAAAGAGTAGGAACACAAGAACAAATTTAACTGTGGAAAAAGGCCAAGGAAGAGGAACAGTAGTTTTAATGCAAAGTGACAGCCACAACTTCACAACAGATTTTAAAATTCCTACTTAGGGGAATATAATGCTTTACAGGTGAGTTGTTCTGGTGGCCTTATTAACCCCAAATACTCTGAGAGGAATAAATGGCTTTCCCGATAAAACTTCATCCAAGTACAACTGATGATTTTTTCAGAGTTCTGAGAAAAACTGGAATAGTATCAATGCATAAACAGAAAACAGTCTCCCACATTCAAGTTACTGAAATGAAAAAGCTACCCTTGCAAATAATACTGTCTGTAACTTGCTTCAGACTTTCAAATATGCATTTCCTGACACTGTAGTATTTTAAAATTTTATTTTGTATTATTCTAATCAAGGTATCTTTGGGAAGATTCGATCATCCCCCTTCTCCATAGGATAATAAAACAAAAATGCTTTTTGGTAGCGTTTTGTTCTCATGAATATATTACTATAGTGTGCATTTAAATTTATCCGTTTCTGTCTAAGAGAATGACTATGACTTTTAAATAAAAGAATGGCAGAATGATATGAATTCATTGCAGTTTTTTCTTGTTTAAAAGGCTATGGCAGACTGTTATAGAAATATTAGATCGTTAGTGAAGTACTATGAACCAGACTGGTACTGTAAAGAATAGAAAAATGCAGTAGTCCTGTCATACAGCAAAATACTTAAACTAATGCCATCTGGTTTACCAAAGCCCAAGAGTTATATGACAACGTAATAATGGTTAATAAATATCTAAAACCTTCCTGCATGAATGACACAAGTGTTTCAGTTCTTATTATTACACTCATGTTATTCTCCTCCTGTCCAGATTTCTATTTCCTATTCATATTATCTGATCGCCTTTCTATACTGCAGCATCCAATATAAAAAGACAGAGCAATGCCAGCATCTGCAACACAATCTAGATGAACTTACATTGGGAAAACAAGGTTCATGTTTTAATGCAAATTGCAAGATGAGTTGTTGGGAGATGCAATTCAGGAAAGTAATGAGCTCTTAATCCCTTCTTGCTGTGTGCTTCATATAATTTTATCCAATGACCGTTTAATGTGAAATGCATAAACAGTTATCAAGAACAAAGATTAGAAATGTAGGATCTTGTGCCAAAGCAATGCCCTTGTCACTTCACAGCTAACTATCTCTGGTTCCTCGAGTCACATGGGCAGCTATGTTGTGGGAAAGCTTTACCAGAAGATTTATGTTCCCATACAAGCCAGTTTAGGACCCCTGGGTCCTCTTCCAGAAGGAAGTATGTGTGGATTTGAATCCTTTGAAGTTGAATGATGCACAGAATTCAGGTGGCCCACTATTCACCAATCAGTAAACAAATTGTAAGAAGTGTACAAATAATCTACTACATTTTAAAGAGTTGGGACACGAAAGGAACCATGGCACCATTTACATTCAGATCATACCCCTGCAAAGCTGCATATAGGAACTAAAGCAACCAACAATTTTTTAGAGACTCTAAAGTTTCTACAAGCATAATCATCTACCTGCAGATCAGATAGCTGGAATGACTCCTATTCCTGCCTGTCTTTCACTGGGTAAAAAGTGTAGACATCTTGTTAAATTTGTGATATTCACTGAGGTATCCAAGCTGTTAAATTTAAGACATAGTAATAAAATGGTCATCACCTATTCGGTCACATAAGCATTTTGGTTTGATTCAGGAATGTATTTTTGAATTGAATCTTCTGATTATGCCCACCTATACCACTTGTTACCAGAGCATATTTACTCTTAAATGACACTAAAACAGAAAATGCTGTTCACCTACTAGTGGTTATTCAGTCCATAGGACTGCAGTATAGCTAGTATAAAGTAAAAGCTCTCAAAATACACAAAACTGTTGACACTGTGTCCTCAGTGTCAACTGCTTTGCTCTACAGATCTGCTGTTGTTATGTTGTAGTACTTGCTAATGTGGACATAGCCTATACCTTTGTGGATTTGGTTCCATGGTGAGTTTTTTCTCAGTAGAATGTGTAGATTGCTTTAGAAAAAAGTTTGTCTTGCCTGAACATAAGTCCTCTGTCTTCAACATGAAGTATCCATATGTTCCAGAAAAAATCAGGGCAAGTTTTTTCTGCTTCTTTTGACCCTGATTTTAGACCCCAATACTGTGTAGACACAGAAATCAATGACAGCATGATATGCTTTTGAATTTGTCCTTTAATGAGGGTCTTGGCACTCAATGTGAGAGATGGAGCATAAGCCTGCAGTGATGCTGAAAGTCCCTGTTTTTGCAGAGAGCTGAAGTTTAGAAAATACTTCTACCTCAAAACTATAAGTATGTTTTCCCAAATTCACATAATTTTGGAGAAAGTACAATGTATTTTCTTGTTAGGCCTTCTTAGTTAAAAAACTATTGGGAAATATAAACAGGATTTCTGCAAGCGACAAGATAACAAGAAACTTTGAAAACAGGAAGTTCTCAAGGCACAGAAAGATAAGTAGCGTGCAAGCAGTCTCAAACACCAGACTACTTGCTTTTCAAAATTATTTTTGCAAAATAGAGCACTTCAGCTTTCTGGATGAAAAAAAAAATCTATGAATGATCTGATATCACAGTTCATTTGTACATGTAGCCACACAGTGAACTATGCTCACAGATAGACAGTGAAGAAACGGGAATGAGATCCTGATTATGCCTACCAGGAGGCACCAACCTGTATATTGTATTTGTAATTAAAATATTTGTAATATTTGCACACTTTCTTGTGGAACACACACTGCTGTCTTATGGGTAAATAGCTCTCATGAACCACAGACTAATACAGATTTAAATGACTGAGCCTATCACATACTGTGTTCAAGAGTAGGACAGAAACAAGCATATCTAGGTGTTTCACACAAAAAATATCATACTTGTAAGAATATCCACAGAACTGGTCTAAGATTATTACATTACTTAAAAATAATAAAAAAAATGAATCTGTACGAAGTTACAATTCACATTTAAAGTAACACATAAAATCCAGCCCTTACCAAAAGAAAAAAGCCTATTCTGATACATTATTTTAAAGCAAAGCTATTAATTCAAACCAAGTCATTAACCATTTACACATTCTAAAATGTTCTGTATGTATAGTCCTAAAATGTATTTTTGTGTAAAGTGCTAGTTGATTGTTACATTCCACACCTAAATAAATTCATTTTGCTAGGAAACAAAAAAAGAGAATATATTTGGGATAAAACAAAATATTATCCAATGAACAACAGATACAGAAACTCATTCAAATCACAGAAAACTTACATCTAGTAGCGTGTGAAGATGTTGATCCTGGAAAACACTGTGAAGAAAATCTAAGTCTTTTTCGCTGCAGTCTGTAAGTGCATGAATTTCTTCCAGGCTGTCCAGCACCTGTGAGACTGCTCCTATGGGGCAATAAACGGGAAAAAAAAGAAAGAATAAAAATCAATAAAGCAAAGACCCACAGTAAACTGAACTTTGGAAAAGGAAACTTTCACTTCATCTGGTACAACTGGAACAGGAACTTTAAAAGCTAGAGTTTTTACAGGAAAACTCACTGAATAAACCTTACCTATCTTAACAGTACCCACATATAGTGTAATTATACATAAAAAATGGTTTAACTGAAGAAAGGTTAAAACCTGTTTTCATTAAGCTTAACTTTGTTCTATTTTAGCCTGGTTTCCAATGATGTCTTACGAAGTCACTTGGATTATCTGCCCAACTGCTTGTCCTCACCATTCTCACCCCAACCTTCTCTTTTTCACTTTTTGAACAGCTGGCCAATTTCAAATACATATTCCAAATCAGTAAAAAATTCTTTTAAAATCAGCATCTGGATAGAGAAGGGAAGAGAGCTAAAGACCTGACTGCTATGTCCTCCAGAAGAGAAAAAAAAGGCTGTAACATGAGCTCTGGTGTTTGTTCTGCTTGCCTGGTTATCTCAGCCCCAGTTATAGCACTTGCTGTCTTTTGACCATAGGCTTCTTTCGGGTCATAGGAAGATGGGGATGATTGTTATATGGCGTAAGGGTGAAAAGAGAAGTGAGGGATATGAGAACAAAAAGGAAAAACAAGAAGTATTATAGAAGGTGGAAGTCCATGAGGAGAGTTGAACTCACAGCAGGGGAGGATACAGAGACGCAACACAAATCCATAGCAAACCAGCCCATATTGGTTCCTTGTGGAACAACTTGTTTTAAAAATCAGGTATCAGTAGTGGTTGCCACTTGAGTGCATTACTAGAATGCTAACTTTGTCTTATCTAAACATCCCATGTCTTCAGTTTTTCCACAGTGGTATAAGTATCTGGAAAGATGGTAGCATATCCAGTGTTAGTCTGCAAAAATGCTGGTATCTGACAGTGAACTGCTGAATACTTTTTCATAAATACTTCATTCTGGATACAGAACTCTACATATTCTGTATTTCACTAATTTCTCTTTAACATGTTCATTCTATCCACTTATTAATTCGCCAGTGTCCTTTTGTCAAGACAGATAATATCTAAAAAATTGCTATATTTCTTGAAATTCCATCCTCCACTGTATGAACAATTCTTACCAGCTTTCCTTAACTCAAGCCCTTTTGTAATCTATTGCATTTTCAGAACATAATAAGAACAAACCCCCCAACCCC